TCTGTCTTTTCGATATACAGATGTTCAATCTAGTTTATTCAGCCTGTTCTTTTGGAATTTTCTAAATGGATGAACAATTCCACATTGAACACTCCATGGTGATAAATTACAGCCAAAACATCTGTTTGGTTATTAGGTACGGTGCATTCGAAAAGTATTCAGACCCCTTGACTTTTTCCACATTTTGTTACGTTACAGCCTTATTCTAAAATGGATTAAGTTGTTTTTTCCCCTTATCAATCTACACACAATACCCCATAATGACAAAGCAAAAACAGTTGTAAAAAACAACTGAAATATCACATTTACATATTTGTTGAAGCACCTTTGGCAGCAATTACAGCCTCAATACTTTTTGGGTATGACGCTACAAGCTTGGCACACCTGTATTTGGGGAGTTTCTCCCATTCTTCTCTGCAGATCCACTCAAGCTCTGTCAGGTTGGATGGGGAGCATTGCTGCACAGCTAATTTCAGGTCTCTCCAGAGATGTTCGATCAGGTTGAAGTCCAGGCTCTGGCTGGGCCACTCAAGGACATTCAGACACTCCTGTGTTGTCTTGGCTGTGTGCTTAGGGTCGTGGTCCTTCGCCCCAGTCTGAGGTCCTGAGAGCGCTGGAGCAGGTTTTCATCAAGGATCTCTCTGTACTTTGCCCCGTTCATCTTTCCCTTGATCCTGACTAGTCTCCTAGTCCCTGCCGCTGAAAAACATCCCACAGCATGCTGCTGCCACCACCATGCTTCACCGTAGGGATGGTGCCAGGTTTCCTCCAGATGTGAAGCTTGGCATTAATGCCAAATAGTTCAATCTTGGTTTCATCAGACCCAGAGAATCTTGTTTCTCATGGTCTGAGAGGCTTTAGATGCCTTTTGGCAAACTCCAAGCGGGCTGTCTTTTACTGAGGAGTGGCTTCCGTCTGGCCACTCTACCATAAAGGCCTGATTGTTGGAGTGCGGTAGAGATGGTTGTCCTTCTGGAAGGTTCTCCCATCTCCACAGAGGAACTCCTGAGCTCTGTCAGAGTGACCATCGGGTTCTTCACCTAAGCTCAATTTCGAGTCTCATAGCAAAGGGTCTGAATACTTATGTAAATAAGGTATTTCCGTTTTTTATTTTGAATATATTTGCTAACATTTCTAAAAATCTGTTTTCGCTTTGTCATTATGGGGTATTGTGTGCAGATTGAGGATTTAATTTTTTAAAATCCATTTTAGAATAAGGCTGTAATGTAACAATGTCTGAATACTTTCCGAATGCACTGTATATGCTTAATGATTCTGATGAAAATACTCTTTGTTTTTATCAAACTAAAACTTTTGCATATTGTCAGAGTAGAACCTGTCTATTTTTAGGGGTGAATCATATCTAGATTTCTTTCAAATTTATGGGCGAATCAAATCAAATTTTTAATTAATTGTATTTGTCACATGCTCCGAATACAACAGGTTTAGACCTTACCGTGAAATGCTGACTTACAAGCCCTAAACCATTCAGGATATATATAAAAAATATAAACTCAGCAAAAAAAGAAACGTCCTCTCACTGTCAACTGCGTTTATTTTCAGCAAACTTAACATGTGTAAATATTTGTATGAACATAACAAGATTCAACAACTGAGACATAAACGGAACAAGTTCCACAGACATGTGACTAAGAAATTGAATAATGTATCCCTGAACAAAGGGGGGTCAAAATCAAAAGTAACAGTCAGTATCTGGTGTGGCCACCAGCTGCATTAAGTACTGCAGTGCACCTCCTCCTCATGGACTGCACCAGATTTGCCAGTTCTTGCTGTGAGATGTTACCCCACTCTTCCACCAAGGCACCTGCAAGTTCCCAGAATGTTTTCTGGGGGGAATGGCCCTAGCCCTCACCCTCCGATCCAACAGGTCCCAGACGTGCTCAATGGGATTGAGATCCGGGCTCTTCGCTGGCCATGGCAGAACACTGACATTCCTGTCTTGCAGGAAATCACGCACAGAACGAGCAGTATGGCTGGTGGCATTGTTATGCTGGAGTGTCATATCAGGATGAGCCTGCAGGAAGGGTACCACATGAGGGAGGAGGATGTCTTCCCTGTAACACACAGCTTTGAGATTGCCTGCAATGACAACAAGCTCAGTCCGATGATGTTGTGACACACCGCCCCAGACCATGACGGACCCTCCACCTCCAAATCGATCCCGCTCCAGAGTACAGGACTCGGTGTAACACTCATTCCTTCGACGATTAACGCAAATCCGACCATCACCCCTGGTGAGACAAAACCGCAACTCGTCAGTGAAGAGCACTTTTTGCCAGTCCTGTCTGGTCCAGCGACGGTGGGTTTGTGCCCATAGGCGACGTTGTTGCCGGTGATGTCTGGTGAGAACCTGCCTTACAACAGGCCTACAAGCCCTCAGTCCAGCCTCTCTCAGCCTATTGCGGACAGTCTGAGCACTGATGGAGGGATTGTGCGTTCCTGGTGTAACTCAGGCAGTTGTTGTTGCCATCCTGTACCTGTCCCGCAGGTGTGATGTTCGGATGTACCGATCCTGTGCAGGTGGTCTGCCACTGCGAGGACGATCAGCTGTCCGTCCTGTCTCCCTGTAGCGCTGTCTTAGGCGTCTCACAGTACGGACATTGCAATTTATTGCCCTGGCCACATCTGCAGTCCTCATGCCTTCTTGCAGCATGCCTAAGGCATGTTCACGCAGATGAGCAGGGACCCTGGTCATCTTTCTTTTGGTGTTTTTCAGAGTCAGTAGAAAGGCCTCTTTAGTGTCCTAAGTTTTCATAACTGTGACCTTAATTGCCTACCGTCTGTACGCTGTTAGTGTCTTAACGACTGTTCCAGAGGTGCATGTTCATTAATTGTTTATGGTTCATTGAACAAGCATGGGAAACAGTGTTTAAACCCTTTACAATGAAGATCTGTGAAGTTATTTTGATTTTTACGAATTATCTTTGAAAGACAGGGTCCTGAAAAGGGGAGGTTCATTTTTTTGCTGAGTTTATGTTTTCTCTAAATAAGTTTTGTTGCACATATTTAAAGGTCAAAACACTGCATTTCAAACAATCTTGAATAATCTAATGAATTCAGGACTTGTTAAATTATACCTAGGCTAAATATAAGCCTTCAACCATAAGACCCACTAATAATTTAATTATTTTATCAAAATAGTTTAACCTGCTTTTTTCAATAATCACTGATCTGGCTTTCAAGTCTATGAAAATGCCCTTTTTGTTACAAATTTTACCAGAACGATGCACATGCACAAAATGACCAACTTCTGGTAGCAAGCAATATAGAAAATGAACAATCTTTCAAGCACAAGCCCATCTGCTAGTGAGTAGCCAGCTAATCTTTATATTTAAAGTCTAGCGAACTTGGATCTATTTTCTTGCTAGCATGGTAGAACAGTTGAACTGTAATGAATACACCCTCCTGTCTACTGTTTGTTTGAACAACATAGCCTGTTCACTTTGTTTAGATGTTGAAATCAAGTGGCCTACCTGAAAAAGATGCTTATTTTTCAGAATGAGAATAAGTTGTCAATTCCTTCTATACATGTAAATGTGTCTTTTTTTTGCTCATTGCACATTTTATAAAACACAGACTAGACAGCTAGCACATAAGTCTGGCTAAAATGCTGCTAGCGGTACATGGTAGAAACTGAGCATTAATTTTCAACAATTATGTTCATTGATACTTCAGTCTTAGTAGGGTCTGCTCTGTTCAACATTTTGGGAGTTGAGACAAAAAGGGTATCGTTACAAAGGTTAAGTTCTCCTCTATTACAGTAAAAATAATGTCTCAATGTGTTTGTGTCCATATGACCGATCTTGTTGGAACAACCTCAAATGCAAACAGTGAGTTGAAACTTCTTATTGTTAGAGCGGAAGAAGATGATCTTTGAGTGAGCGGAGGGGAAAGGGAATTTAGGGAGAAGAATGGTGTGATGCTTGGCTTGGTTAATTTTTGTTGCCCTCAAATGCACATGTACAAATGGAACACTAGAGTCAAAGCAATGTAAAATCCAGCATCCAGGACAGTGTTAAGGCTGGTTTACAGTAGGGATGGGCATTTGAAATTATTTCACTATTAGAATAATATCATGAATTGTTTCAGATATCCGGATACCGTAAAACGTCAATTAAACGCTGAGTTCAAATATGAAGCTCACACTGAGCTGGATGTAACACACTTCAAAATAAGAGTCTCTTGATTTGTCATGCCAAAATAAGTCCTGCATTTCCTATTTTAAAATAAGAGTCCCTCGATTTGTCATGTTTTCTGTTGTTTTTCAGACCCATTTTTTTATTTAATATTTTTATAAATATTACACACCAGAATGGACAGCCATACATGTATGTCTTCCACCAGATAGTATGCCTGTGTTCAGTCTGTGGATCCCTCTGAGCGCCAGGTCTATTTACCCTAGTTTAATTTCATTTGGAAACGTGTGTGTGTGTGTCACAGCTTCACCAGCTCTTGCAAAGCCATAGTCTGCTTGACTTGCTCTTAGATATGGGAGCGATTTTCCTAGATTCCCTGTCAACAACACAATTCATGCCTACTGCTCCTCTCCACTCTACATTCTCATTGTTCCTCATTTGGCCAATTATTCATTTTTCCACCTGCTTTTCTAAACTCTGGAATCTACCAGGTATCATGACTGGTCAGGAGTGGCTGATCTCAAGGCAGTCCTTAAGTGTTTGCTAATGTTCATGACACAACATATCTAAGCTCAAATATGATAGGGGTTTCAATGCTCATCGTATATGCAAGTATCTGTTTGTGTCTGCTTTACCTTCACTCAAATGATCACCCAAAACTACTCCATCCAGTCTACGCCTTAATTAAGGTCTGAGTTGTTTGATTCGATTCTGCATTAATGGGGAAAGGTCCCACTTGATTCAACAATAGACTGTACCTTCCACTGATATTGGCTATGTCTGTGTTCATTAAACTTTCTGTCTCTCTCTTCCTCTTTTTCTGTATCTCCTCTCTTTCTCTCTCAGTATGTATGACCAACTGTCCCACCCTCATTGTGACGGTGGGCCTCCCAGCGAGAGGGAAGACCTACATCTCCAAGAAACTGACCCGCTATCTCAACTGGATTGGTGTGCCAACCAAAGGTACTAGGTCAAGTTTTTTCTCTCTCTCACACACGCATAGACACAAACACACAGGGAATAGGGTTTACCCTATAAACATGTTTATCTTGACTAAATGTATCTCTGTGTTGTTTAGAGTTCAATGTGGGTCAGTACAGGAGAGAGTGTGTGAAGATCTACAAGTCTTTTGAGTTTTTCCATCCAGACAATGAAGAGGGGCTGAAGATCAGGAGGTGAGGCTGGAGAAGGGCTGATGGATTGAAATGCATGGGTCAAGTTAGGTCTAACCCAACACTATTCACTTATCTCATTACATGCCAAAGTTACAGGGAATAGGCTCTTTATTGGGCTCTACTAGGCAGATACAGTTGAAAGAAAAAAGAGTAGTAGCTATTTACATTAATATCTACAAAGTGCATTTTGACCAGTTGCTTTATATTAGCAAAGTTTGAATTCATTTCATTCTCATAGATCTGTACCTACACTGTCACTTTAAGGAGTTTCCAGTCATCTTTCTGATTCTGTTGTGTACGTGTCCACCCATAGGCAGTGTGCACTGACAGCGCTGAATGATGTGCGCCACTACCTGACTGTGGATGGAGGCCAGGTGGCGGTGAGTAGAGCAGATCAGGCCCACGGTGACTTTTGTTTGGTTCATGATCACAGTGTGAATGAGGATGTTGATGAATAGTGGGAAAAGGGTGCACATGCCAAGAAAAGAAAGTTATTTCTTGCTTGGTAATTACATTTACTGAATGTATTAATGTACATGTATTCAAATGCCAGGGCTGGCTTGAATGTTCAATTCAATATACAGGTATGTAATTAATCTAGGCTACTATGCAAAGAAATAACTTGTGTTTTGGCGTGTGCACCCTTTTTCCCCGCTATTGCTCTTCAGTCTACAAGACTTGTTTGGGTAAGCGCCGCAACTCATATACATGTTCATGTTTTGCTTGGTGCTGCCGGGACTCCTAACCTGAATGCAATGAGGATGTTGTGACTGACTGGAGTTTGACCTTCCTTACCTCAGGTGTTTGATGCCACTAACACCACCAGGGAGAGGAGATGGACCATCACCAGGTTTGCAGAGCAGAACGGCTTTAAGGTATGGAACCCCAGGACCAGGCATTAGTATCTGTAGTTATTGTCTATTCATTGGCTTCACTACCTTTCGTATACTGTACAGTATATTTCACTGTATTGTATTTATACTAAATCTTCATTTTCAACCTCCCAGGTGTTCTTTGTGGAGTCTGTGTGTGAAGACCCTGATGTCATTGCGGAGAACATAGTGGTGAGTGACATCTCTGCTATCTTTCAGCACTGTGCATGTGCCACTGGTTTTATAAAAGATCAGACATGATCAAATTTAATTGCTCATAAAATTCAAGACTTCTGCTTTATAATTGATATTCCTGTGTGACAGGCCTCCTGATGAAGAATGTGTACTATCTTTCTGTTGATATGCCCTGGCAAACTTTCAGAAATGAAGCAAGATGTTTTTCCTCTCTTTCTCTTTTTCTCGACTCATTTCCTCTTACTGTCTGTATTTCCTGTCTGTCCGTGCAGCAAGTGAAGCTGGGTAGTCCTGACTACATAGATAGTAATACAGAGGAGGTCATCGAGGACTTCATGAAGAGAATCAAGTGCTACGAGAACTCTTACCAGCCACTGGACGAGGTTCTAGACAGGTGAGCACACACACACACACACACATACACACACACACACACTAGTGGTTTCAGAATATGCTCTGACAAGATACTGGACAAGTGAGAATGCAAACACACACTCAGAATACACATGGACAAGGTCAGCAGTCTTTTAATCTCCTCACACTGCTATTAGATCTGATAGTCACTCATACTCCATCCCCTGCCCCAGGGATCTGTCCTACATTAAGATAATGGACGTGGGCCGGAGGTACCTGGTGAACAGGGTGTTGGACCACATCCAGAGCCGCATCGTCTACTACCTGATGAACATCCACATCACACCACGCTCTATCTACCTGTCTCGCCATGGAGAGAGTGACCTCAACGTCAAAGGACGCATCGGAGGAGACTCAGGCCTGTCTGACAGGGGCAAGGAGGTTTGTTGGTTTGTCTGTCTGTCTTTTCGTAATAAAAATATATACAGTACCAGCAGGGACGGTGTGTTCATTAGGGCGATATGGGCGACGCACTGCCAAACGGGAAAAGGAAGGGATTTTTTTTCTAATCAATTATATCACGGCAACAGTAGTTATTAGTGTTCTAATCTAGACGTCTGATCTGCCACTAAATGTCCAATCAGGCTAAAGTCGTGCTTCAAATGGCCCCGCCCGTTTTGGGGCGATTTCAGTCAGGTTGAAAATCGCCCAGAAGTGTCTCATAGCCTCTCATGTAAAATCTTTTTTTTTTCAAATATCAGAGCTTTCAATACAATCTCTATGGGTTCCGGGAGGGCTTGCACTTACTCGCTTTCGTCATACGTAACATAACTAAGAAAAGAGCGGGTAGCAGCGTCAATCAAGATGGCTAGCGTTCAGTGCAACTCGATTGTCTCTTTGAAAGAAGTTCGTTTTTGTCGGCGAACAAATCAAGATAAATTGGCAACGAAACAATTAGGACCTCCCAGACCAAATTTAATAATTCAACAGGTTTCTACTAAAGGGGGAAAGTCCTACACCCGAGGATTTTCCAAAAATTGGGCTGTCAAAGACCCACATGGATAGCTGTTTGAGATTGTCTGCTTTGGGGAGAGTGAACATTGCCACTCAACTGGATGAGGGATACAGGCTAGCTGTCCGCCGCCACAACGATGAGGTTAGCAAGAACCGCCACATCCTCAGCCGGCTAATCCAGTGTGTGAAGTTTTGCGAAGTGTTTGAGTTAGCTTTGCGAGGCAAAGATGAAACGGAGGGCTCCACCAACCCTGGTATTTTTCTTGGACTTGTCAACTTTGTGGCACAATTAGATGAGGTGTTTGATGACCATCTTAAAAATGCTAAAGTTTTCAAGGGCACATCAAAGACCATTCAAAACGAGCTACTGGAGTGTATGCTAGCTGTCATGAGGGAACATATTGTGGAGGAGGTGAAGTCGGCGAACTTCGTAGCTATCCAAGCTGACGAGACCACGGACGTTTCTACACAGACACAGCTGGTGCTTGTGCTGAGGTACATAGATAGCAAGAAGATTTTATTTTTTTCCTGGGGCTTTTTCACAAAATCATGCCCCACGTTGACATTCTGTACCAGAAGCTACAGAAGAAGGACATCGATGCTGTCTTCATCAAACGTGCCCTCGACAGCTTCACAAGGAGTGTGCAGGCCATAAGGTAAGATTAAACAATATCATTCGATCTTTCTCAAAGCAGAGCTTTATTTGAAAATGTATGCATGAAAGGAGACATCATCATATTTACAAATCTATACAATTGGCCAGAATATGGTTGTTCATTTTTACAAAGCCATACAGATAGCTGTGTTTACCTTTTCTATAAATTATTTTCAAATTCTGTTTTCAGGCAAAATGTCTATCACTGTTCATTTTCACAAATCTATACAAGAGGGAAGAATATGGAAGTCTATAAAAATTTCTTATTACCAATAACTTGCATCAATGTTTTCAGTAGCCTCTATCAAAAGCTCCTGCTTGCTTGTTGTGAATTATGCTCAGGTGCACATATTTCCAATTCAACCATGAGGCCTTTTTGAAGCAAGTAATGTGTATATCAGTATTGACTTATATGCTGCCCCTGTCTTCATGTTGTTGCTGGACATATCTTTTTTAAAATGTGTGTAGGTCACCTAAATCATCAGAAAAATTGCCCCCCCTGAGAATTTTTTCAGGAGCCGCCACTGAGTACCAGTCAAACATTTTGACACACCTACTCATTCCAGGGTTTTTCTTTATTTTTACTATTTTCTACATTGTAGAATAATAATGAAGACCTCAAAACTATGAAATAGCACATATGGAATCATGTGCTAACCAAAAAGTGTTAAACAAATCAAAATATTTTTGAGATTCTTCAAAGTAGCCACCCTTTGCCTTGATGACAGCTTTGTACACTCTTGGCATTCTCTCAACCAGCTTCATGAGGTAGTCACCTGGAATGCATTTCAATGAACAGGTGTGCCTTGTTAAAAGGTAATTTGTGGAATTTCTTTCCTTCTTAATGCATTTGAGCCAATCAGTTGTGTTGTGACAAGGTAGGGGTGGTATACAGAAAATAACCCTATTTGGTAAATGACCAAGTCCGTATTATGGCAAGAACAGCTCAAATAAGCAAAGAGAAACGACAGTCCATCATTACTTTAAGACATGAAGGTCAATCAGTCCGGAAAATGTCAAGAACTTTGAAAGTTTCTTCAAGTGCATTTGCAAAAACCATCAAGCGCTATGATGAAACTGGCTCTCTTGAGGACGGCCACAGGAAAGGAAGACCCAGAGTTAGCTCTGCTGCAGAGGATAAGTTCATTAGTGTTAACGGCACCTCAGATTGCAGCCCAAATAAATGCTTCACAGAGTTCCCAAACACATCTCAACATCAACTGTTCAGAGGAGACTGTGTGAATCAGGCCTTCATGGTCAAATTGCTGCAAAGAAACCACTACTAAATGACACCAATAAGAAGAAGAGACTTGCTTGGGCCAAGAAACACGAGCAATAGACATTAGACCGGTGGAAATCTGTCCTTTGGTCTGATGAGTCCAAATTTGAGATTTTTAGTTCCAACCGCTGTGTCTTTGTGAGACGCAGAGTAGGTGAACGGATGATCTCCGCATGTGTGGTTCCCACCGTGAAGCATGGAGGAGGAGGTGTGATGGTGTGGGGGTGCTTTGCTGGTGACACTGTCAGTGATTTATTTAGAATTTAAGGCACACTTAACCAGCATGGCTACCACAGCACACCAAGTGTTTAACACTTTTTTTGGTTACTACATGATTCCATATGTGTTATTTCATAGTTTTGATGTCTTCACTATTATTCTACAATGTAGAAAATAGTCAAGATAAAGAAAAACCCTTGAATGAGTAGGTGTGTCCAAACTTTTGACTGGGACTGTATGTAACATCATCTTTCTCTCCCTTGCCTGTTGGTCAGTTTGCAAAGAGTCTGGGGAAGTTTATCCAGGAGCAGAACATTAAGGATCTGAAGGTGTGGACCAGCCAGATGAAGAGAACCATCCAGACAGCTGAGGCCGTGGCTGTGCCCTACGAGCAGTGGAAGGCTCTCAACGAGATAGATGCTGTAAGTCTGTGTGTGTGTGTGTATGCAACATGTGTTTGTATTTTGGCCTAAAATATGAATTGAATGTATCCTTTTAATTTCAATGATATTGATGTCTCCTAAGCCTGCTGTTAAACAGGCTTTTTGTTTTTCGCTGCGTGTGTGTTTTGACTATTGATATTTTGTTTGTATTTATACTTTCATAGATCTACACTGTATCTACGATTATGCTCCAAGTCAGCCAAAGTGATTGGTGGTTCCCACTTCCCATGTCTCCTAACCCTGCTGTTAAACAACTTGTTGTTTTGCTTTGTCTCCCCCTCCCAGGGTGTGTGTGAAGAGATGATGTATGAGGAGATCCAGGGACATTTCCCTGTGGAGTTTTCACTTAGAGACCAGGACAAATACCGCTACCGCTACCCTAAAGGAGAGGTGAGTCCATCACAGCACAAACACTGACTGACATCTCAAAGTGTGTGTGTTAACAGGCCTCTGATTGTCCCCTCAGTCCTATGAGGACCTGGTGCAGCGGTTGGAGCCAGTCATCATGGAGCTGGAGAGGCAGGAGAACGTCCTGGTCATCTGTCACCAGGCTGTCATGCGCTGCCTGCTCGCTTACTTCCTGGATAAGAGCGCAGGTACCGTATATAACTTTTTTTTTTTAAACACCCCCCAGTATTACAGCTTAATTCCTACTATTCAATAACAAACTGAGCATATAGGAGAGTGAGTGTTCTGCATGCGCTGTTCATCAGTCATGATCAGATAAGCATTGGTATATGATTTCAGTAGCTCTAACACAACTCAATTGAATCCATTTAGGCTATTACGACATTGTTCTGTTTTTGTTCTTCAGAGGAGCTGCCTTACCTGAAGTGCCCTTTGCACACTGTACTGAAGCTGACCCCTGTGGCTTATGGTGAGTACACTATTATCAATAACTGTACTATATATGCCAGTGAAACTGAATATCATGCACTCAGAAATGTAATTCCTCTGCTGGAGGTGTAAAACACGAAAGGGAACATATTTCAATATGTTATGCTCTTGTGAAGGCTGGTTGAATTCTGGCAAAGAGTATGTTCTTTTATCTCAGCATGTCTACAGATTCTCCCTTCTCCCTGTTTTTGTTTGCTTGGAAGTGTAGATACTGGAGACAGAAGAAACTGTTTAACCTAGCATTTATAGCGGCTAAGAAATGCATTGCCATTAATTGGAAGGTTGGTTATACTCCCACAATGTCACAATGGATGGCAGAAATGTCAAGTTATATATCACTAGATTTGATTTATTACAAGATTAAGGGTATACTGTGCAACTTTCATAAGGTCTGGATGCCTTATATGGAATACTGTACGACAAAAGGAGTCTATTGAAAACATGCCCACGTCAGGGGAGATACCTATTTAGACAATCCCTAGCTGCTGGGCTGCTCAGTTCTGGCCCTGGGGGTCTGCTGTACTGTTGGTTGTCACTCTGGCCTAACACACCTGAAACCAATAATTAATGGTTCACTAAGATCCTAAAGCTGAGTGGGGTGTGTTGGGTTGGGGCGCTGCAGGGCGGTGGACCCCTAGGGGCAGGACGGGGAGATCCAGCTATATTGTGTGCAAGTAAAAAGAGCTCTACAGTACTATTAGACCTATGATATGAATTACAGTGCCATCTGTAATTATTGGGTGAGTGAAGCATTTTGTCTTATTTTGGCTCTATACGACAAAATTTTGGATTTGAAATCAACCAATGACTATGAAGTTATTTTCATCCAAATCGGGTGGACCGTTTAGAAATTACAGCACTTTTTGTACATAGTCCCCACATTTTAGGGGAGCAAAAGTATTGGGACATTCACTTTTATGTGTATTAAAGTAGTAAAAAGGTAAGTATTTGGTCCCACATTCATAGCACTCAATAACTACATCAAGCTTGTTGGATGCATTTGCTGTTTGTTTTGGTTGTGTTTCAGATTTTGTGCCCAATATAAATTAACGGTAAATAATGTATTGCCATTTTGGAGTCACTTTTATTGTAAATAAGAATATAGAATGTTTCTAAATACTTCTACAATGTGGATTCTACCATGATTACGGATAATCCTAAAGGAAAAGTTAGACGCAGAAATATCATACCCCAAAACATGCTAACCTCTCACCATTACAATAACAGGCGGAGGTTTGGGGGGCATGATATTTCTGCGTCTATAACTCTCGGACTCATCATTATTCACGATTCATTCAGGATTATCCATGATCATGGTTGCATCCACATTCATGTAGAAGTGTTTATAAACATATTCTGTTCTTATTTACATATATTTTTTAAAGTGACCCCAAAAGGGCCATATTAGATTGTGTACAAATGCAGGAAATGAGCTTTAGATGCCCAAAATATTCTGAGGGAGGACCCCAAGACCCACCGCCAGGTTATGTCCCCCCCACTTCTATACTGAACAAAAATATAAATGCAACATGTAAAGTGTTGGTCCTATGTTTCATTGAGCAGGTGTGGCATATCAACAAGCTGATTAAACGGCATGATCATTACACAAGTACACCTTGTGCTGGGGACAATAAAAGGCCATTCTAAAATGTGCAGTTTTGTTACACAACACAATGCCACAGATGTCTCAAGTTTTGAGGGAGCGTGCAATCGGCCTGCTGACTGCAGGAATGGCCACCAGTGCTGTTCCAGAGAATTTAGTGTTAATTTCTCTACCATAAGCCGCCTCCAACGTCGTTTTAGAGAATTTGGCAGGACGTCCAACAGGCCTCACAACCACAGACCATATGTATGGCGTTGTGTGGGCGAGCGGTTTGCTGATGTCAACGTTGTGAACAGAGTGCTCCATGGTGGTGGTGGGGTTATGGTATGGGCAGGCATAAGCTACGAACAACAAACACAATTGCATTTTATTGATAGCGATTTGAATGCGCAGAGGTACCGTGACGAGATCCTGAGGCCCATTGTCGTGCCATTCATCCGCCGCCATCACCTCATGTTTCAGCATGATAATGCACGGCCCCATGTCGCAAGGATCTGTACACAATTCCTGGAAATTGGAAATGTCCCAGTTCTTCCATGGCCTGCCTACTCACCCATTGAGCATGTTTGGGATGCTCTGGATCAACGTGTACGACATTGTGTTACAGTTCCCGCCAAAATCCAGCAACTTTGCACAGCCATTGAAGAGGAGTGGGACAACATTCCACAGGCTGCCATCAACAGCCTGATCAACTTTATGCAAAGGAGATGTCGTGCTGCATGAGGCACATGGTGGTCACACCAGATACTGACTGGTTTTCTGATCCACGCCTCTACCTTTTTTTTAAGGTATCTGTGACCAACAGATTCATATCTGTATTCCCAGTCATGTGAAATCCATAGATTAGGGCCTAATGAATTATTACAATTGACTGATTTCCTTATAAGAACTGTAACTCAGTAAAATCTTTGAAATTGTTGCATTTTGTATTTTTGTTCAGTATAAAACCAAAGTTGCGCCCCTGCTTTATTCCATGCATATTTACTCCAATGACATGTATTTATCCATTTGATTCGGAACACCTGGGTACTTGTGATCCAGTTCAGTCAAGTTCAATACCACTGTAAAACAAAACATTTCACTGCACTTATATTTTATGTAGTGTTGATCTGTGTATTAAACACAGTGTACTGCTGCTGCTCTCTAGTGGTCTGACGAAGGAATATAAAAATGAATCGTCCCTCAAATCTCTTTCCTTTCTATTGTTTTGGTTTGTCTCCCGTCCTGTCCATGTAGGCTGTAAAGTAGAGTCTGTCTGGTTGAATGTGGAAGCTGTGAACACCCACAGGGACAAGCCAGAGGTAGGTACCCCAGACAGAAGCACCCTTACAGGCTTGCACTCTCAAAAGCCTTGTTCACACTGCAGGCCTTAATGTTCAAATAAGTTTTGTTTTTCAAATACGTTTTGGACTACTGACTGTCCAAACAGCAAGTTACAAGTGACCAAATCGGATTTGTGTGTTTAGACAGCAGTCATTTGCTGACAAGGCTACACTAGTTGTCATAGTAATGACGGGTGTGTGTGCTGTGGTGTAGTCTTAAAAACCACTGTTCAGATTGCAGGGAAAATAACCGAATCGGATATGCAAATAAATAGGATTTGAGTCACTTCAAACTGCCAATGTGAACACGGCTAAACAGCGAGAGAAAGAGTTTTAGGTTCAATTAAACTAACCTTATGTGTATTGGTGCTGACTGCTCTCTCTCTTTTCATTGTACAGAATGTAGACATTTCACGGATGCCGGAAGAAGCCCTGTTCACAGTCCCAGCCCACCAGTGATGAGTGACAGCGCCCACAGGCTAGATTCAATCAGTTCTTCCTTAACCCGCGATAACCGACAATTGCATAGCAGTTTCATTGTTTTTATTTAGGTGATGTCGGAGGTGTAACTGCGTTGGAGCTGTCAAATCAGCAAGCGACTCCCGGCGTTATACCTATTGCGGACATTGCCATTGGATGTGCCGAGTCGCATTAGTAATAATCCCATGCAGCCTTGTTACAAGTTCGAACACTGGACTGTGTTGTAATCTACACCTCGATTAGGCTGATATGAATCCTCATTATTTCTATATAGCCTACACTTTCTCCTTCTGAAGTTCTAACGTGAGTGGCTTCGTGAAAATGACCGCACGAGCAGCCGATCAGATTTGACAGCTCTAAAGCAGTTACACCTCCAGCACCGCCTAAACACCAGCTATGCGGGTGTCAGCTATCACTGGTTAACGATTGTTCTGATTGAATCCAGGCCAAGACTCCAAAGGGACATCACTCACCATGGCCACTTCCTCTACTCAATCAGCAATCAATCCAAATTGCAATTTTAAAAAGAATCCTCGCAGCGGGATTTGAAAGGACCGCATCCGGATCTTTCATTGCACATATTTCTATTTCAAGCGGAAATCAGCAGAGGAAACAATAACGAAGCGTACTCCCCGCCCCGGTTTTCAGTAAAAAGCTGAGGGATGGGCTGGAGAAATGGAACCACTCTCAAATTCATAGAGCTATGGATGCAAGGGCTGACTATCAAAATTAAGAGTTTACGATGTTTTGAGGCTATATAGTATTTGTTTACATTTACTTTGTTTACAAACATTGGAGTAAAACAAGCTTATATTTTGGGTTCTGATGGAGGCATTTATAAGTTATATTCTTCAACAATCATTCATTTATAAGTCCAAAAATGTATGTAGCAACTGCTGATTGCCCCTTTTTTAAGATTCGTAAAAACAAAAAGAAATACTTGTATAATCTTTTGTTTTTTTCACCTGATTTTTATCTTTCCTTCTGAGCAAAACCGGCTGTGTTTAGATAGGCATCCCAATTCTGATATGGTATTTTGACCAATCACATCAGATCTTTTCACAACAGATCTTTCTCAGAGCTGATCTGATTGGTCAAAAGACCAATTAGTGAAAAAAATAACCAGAATTAGGCTGCCTGTCTAAACGCAGCCATCTAGACAACTGGAATCCAGTTCAATGGTGATTCACCCCACTATCGGGGTATGTGTGCCTGTGAGTGTGTTTTGCATGTGTATGAGTGTATTATGAACAAAGTAAGGACAATCTGATGTGAAACCTATTTTATATGCATGACATATGGCTTTTATTCAAATTGTAGAGTTGAGCTCTTCTGAAAGCGTCGGACACTGGCTGCATTTACACAGGCAGCCCAATTTTGAAATGTCCACTAATTTGACTTTTAACCTATCAGATCAACTCTTTTGCCAATAATTTGGCAAAGATCAGAATTGGCTGCCTGTGTAAACTAAATGTAGTACTCCTTGTTCTTAGTATTTTAGTTTTTGTCCAACCATTTGTCTGTTAACAAGTTTTTGAAAAGTGTTTTATTTGATGAATTTCCTATTAAACCAACTATTGCATTTACACGCTGCAGAAGATGTGATATTTGTAATCTGACTCAAATTGGGGACATGAATTGTTGTAGGTAGTATTTTTTTATGTCTGGTATAAAATCAGGCTGTCCCTATAAAGGCGGTTTTGCACATCAATTGTTTTTTATCAAGTTAATCTTCGTCTAGTTAAAATCTAAACTGATTGCCAAGTTTGTTTTTCATGTTGCATCAGTGATCTGCTATATCTAGAATGTGTTTTGCTCTATTGTTCAATGTCTAAAATGCTGCTGTAGTTTAGTAGCACAGTAGTAGTTGCTGACATGCGTATCTGTGGTACCATGACAAATCAATTGAAATAACTTCTAATATCTGTGTATACGCATAAATAATGATCACCATAATAATCAGTTGTCAGTAAATCGCTCACTGGTTTTATATAGTTTTCAGCATGTTCACCATGTCTTGTTTGTTCATTTTGCCTTGTTTGTCAACTTGCCAAGAATGATGCATTCAATGTAAATATCTACATCATCCAAATGGAATAAATATTTTATGGAATAAATATGTTGAGTTAAATCTCTTGCTCTATTCTTCTGCTAAAGAAAATGAGTCTTCTTGAAGCGTTTCATGTAGTTATAGTCAGAGCCATATTTATAGAGCCCTCACTCAAGCCTTGGCCTTAACTGTCCATTGAAAGTCTCACTTTTAAAACCTCATCTGTTAACTCATACCCAAATAATGTTTTTGATTAATCCTATACTTGTATTTGTGGTAAAGCATAAATGATAAACTTTTTTATTTTTTACTCAAACTTGTGTTTGAGGTAAACGGTTTAAAAAATGCTTGCTATTTCCTCAGAGGATGCCGTCATGTTTTTGGCTGAGACGGCCAATCAGCTGTTTACTTGTCATTCATATTTCTTATTGACCAGTATACGCCCACACCAATTTGCTGTTGGGGTATGCCCACAACATTCAAACACAGAAAAGCTGCTTTTTAAAAAAGGGCCAATGCAGCCGTTTTTTTCTCAATATCAAATCATTTCTGGGTAACAATTAAGTACCTCACTGTGATTGTTTTCAATTTAAATGGCCAAAAATAAACAAAAATAGCTTCTTAGCAAAGAGCAAGTTCTCAAGCAACACATGTACTAGGACAGTCTGGAAGTGGAGTGGGGGGAAAACTGAAAATTAACTGTTATTGGTAGAAGGGTTTGGAACTCTTTCTTAATGGTGATGTCACCAGGCAGGCCAAAACTCCAGCCCACCAAGACAGGCTGATATTTCAGGCAGTCTTTTCAAACAGCTCTTAGGGCTCTATTCAATCCGCATTACGGAAATTCAGCTTTACAGCGTGATTTAAATTTAAAAGGCAATGTTCCCGCTTTAGCAGAGACTGCATTCATGGTAAACATTGCTTATGTTGGCTCAATCAGAAATTACCTTTTATATTTATTTTGCAGAATCGCTTCAGCTTCACCGATTGAATAGAGCCCTTATACTAAAAGGGCATTATCATAATTTTCACAGTATTATTCCAACCTCGGTGTGGAAATATATATAAAACACTGGAAAACCACATTTGACTGCGCTGGGCCTTAAAGTAATTTAAAAAATTTGGAAGGAAAACACTTTCACTCATATTGTAATTAATTATAGATCATATTTCATAGAAATCTGGAAACACTGGACAGCTACTTTAAAAAGATGCGATTTGTAGTTTCTCCACAAAATCATACCCAAATTTCTATAGACCTTTTCAACTGTCAAAACAATAACACATTTTATATGCACGCACATCCAAGAGGTTCCCCACATCTGGTGCTGCAGCGCACCATAATTGCTAGCTAGCTAGCACGAAATCACAAGTTAGTATTTCTTGATCCAACCAAAAAACTGATCGAGTTCTACAGTGCCGTCAGAAAGTATTCAGACCCCTTGACTTTTTCCACATTTTGTTACCTTACAGCCTTATTCTAAAATTGATGTAAATAAAAATAAAATATCTGCAATCTACACACAATACCCCATAATGACAAAGTGAAAACAGGTTATTAGATTTTTTTGCAAATGTATTAAAAACATACCTTATTTACATAAGTATTCAGACCCTATGCTATGAGACTCGAAATTGAGCTCAGGTGCATCCTGTTTCCATTGATCATCCTTGATGTTTCTACAACTTGATTGGAGTCCACCTGTGGTAAATGCAATTGATTGGACATTATCTGGAAACGCACACATCTGTCTATATAAGGTCCCACAGTTGACAGTGAAAAAACCAAGCCATGAAAATAGATGTGCAGTTAGGGCTGTGGCGGTCACAAAATTTAGTCAGCCGGTGATTGTCAAGCAAATAACTGTCGGTCTCACGGTAATTGGCCATTTAGCATCTCCTGGCTTCCACACACAGCCTACACTGATGCAGACCTTTGGAATATCTACATAATTCCATGTAATATAGCCTACACCTTCACAATAAATCCATTATTTATTTTAGACAGTTCTAAAGAAACATGATATGAAGAAAATGTAGTCTATTTCAGAAGAACAGACTCTGAGTTGTCCTTTATGTTAGGTCCTGATCTGGCTATGCCATATGGCTGTGCTACAGTAGTTCATTTAGCAGACAAGATTTGCTTAGAAAGTCTGTGGCATTATTATATATTGAGAATAAGGCTGTAACCTAACAAAATGTGGAAAAGGTAAAGGGGTCTGAATACTTTCTGAATGCACTGTATACACAAATTGACGTGTTGCTACACTAAATAAAATCATCACACAATGTTTATTATCCTTTTGCTCTGGTGGTGTTAGCTACATTTGGCTAGAACAGCAAGTAACCACAGAGGTAGCGTGATGTGATGGTATCGAAAGAGCAGCTTGCCTTGTTAGCCAGCTAGATAGATATAGATTAATTTCTCTCACGACAGTAAACAATA